GACTTGTGATTTTGTGATAGGAAACTCATACTACTTCGTCACACTAGAGAAGGGATCCACTTTAAATCCGGTTTCTGCCTCCTGCAGAATTATGGGGTTTGTAGTTTAGGGAGGCTGTGAAAGGCTCCTCCCTAAACTACAAACCCCAGAATTCTGCAGGAGGCAGCAACCGGATTTTAAGTGGATTAATTCTCTGTTGTGATGACTGTGTTTTTGTGTCAATAAAATAATAATACAAGTATTTAAAGAATCTGTTTTGAATCCCATTTGGGATTTACTTTCCAAGGCAGCTCGAATTAGGAAAGTCAACTCTTCCTTTCTGCCAGAGGAAGAGGCTTGGAAGGCGAGGGAAACCGGTTCTGTCGCGAAATAGGGCTGCGGGACGGCCTGGACCCTATCTTGCGCCTGAAGGGAGTGAAAATCCGGAGCATCCAATGCCTAACTCGCTGGCAAGCCAGCTCCAAAAGGAACGAAATCAGAGACTGGTGTGCAAGACTTCTCTCCAAACTTGCCTTTGCCTTCCTCTGAGGCTGAGAGACTGAAACCAAACCCATTCACGCTGAATCTGGTCTTCCGGGTTCCTAGTCCAACACTCCAACTAAGGCACTGGGCTAGTTTTCCTCAGATTCAGTTCCTGATGTGGAAATACATTCTGGTCTTCCATTGGAAGGCTTTACTCTTTCCTCCAGAGAAGGTGGATCCAGTATTTTAAAAAGCTGGCGCTAATATGATGGGTTTTCTTACAACTTACTGGGAAACTATGCTTTGCATCTCGGTTTCAGGAGCTCAAGGTGAGGTATTATTATTATTATTATTATTATTATTATTATTATTATTATTATTATTATCATTATTATTTTACTGACACAAAAACACAGTATATCACAGCAAACAAGATCCATATCCTGGATTTGGTATCACAAAATCACAAGTCGAACACTTCCCAAGCGTCTAGGACTGTGTGATGTTGGACTGTGCAATTTATATTATTATTATTATTATTATTATTATTATTATTATTATTATTATTATTATTATTGTTGTTGTTGGTTTTTTCCGGGCTATATGGCCATATTCTAGAACATGCCTCTAGAAGATGGCCATATAGCCCGGAAAAAAACCTACAACAACCCAGTGATTCCGGCCATGAAAGCCTTTGAAAATACATTATTATTATTATTATTACTATTATTATTATTATTATATACACAACAAGATTAGTACGCAGCAAACAAGATCACTATGCTGGCTTTTGTATTCGATCACAAGGTTGGGCACTTCCCAAGTGTCTAGGATTGTGATCAAATACAAAAGCCAGGATAATAATAATAATAATAATAATAATAATAATAATAATAATAATAATAATAATAATAATAATTGCACAGCTCAACAAAATAAATTCTTGGTGTCTTGGTTTTTAGGCCTGTTCCTGAAGTTATTTGGGGCGCTGAAGATACCATGAGAGAGACCACACAACCCCTAGTTTCATAGTCATGGTCATTATGATTTTCTATGGGTCAGCAGGGTGAAAAGTGGTATACATTCTGTATCTCAAAAATTAGAGCTGATAGGGGAGAACTGGTGGCATTTTCTGAATCAGCAGCCCAAATATACTTAGGAATAGGGTGGACATTGGAGGCACCAAAATATGTTATTATTGTTCTTGATTTATTATTATTATTATTATTATTATTATTTGAAACACAACAAGATAAGTCCACAGCAGACTCTCTATTGGCTGCTGTATTGGATCACAGGTCGAACACTTCCCAATAATGTGCAGATCCCAGTAAGGTGGCCTTCTCCAGCTGGCAGATGGTATTGTTGTTATTATTGTTATTGTTGTTGTTGTTGTTGTTGTTGTTATTATTATTATTATTATTATTATTATTATTATTATTATTATTATTACTACAAGAGGCAGAAAAAGAGAAACCGAATCCTTTCAGCCTTATAGGAGGAAGCTCCCAATATTTGCCTATTTCCTTTGAAGGAACAGACAGGTCGTGTTCTATTTTTAGAATACATCTCTACTTTCCCAAAGTTGGCTTCAGGACAATAGACTACATGTAGAGGACTACCGTTCCCACTCTCCTCCCTGGTTTAGGTTGAAGAGCAGTTTCAAACCAACTCTGCTTTTTCTATAAGTTCTGGTTCCCAGCCTTTGGTCCTCTAGTTGTTTTGGACTTCACCTTCTAGAAATTCCAGCTGTTAGGGATTGTGGGAGCTGAAGTCCAAAAAATCTGAGGACCAAAGGCTGGGAACCACTGAGGAGGGGAACATCTCCAGGGTAGAATTCACTCAGTTTGACCTCAACTACAATTTCTCTAAGCTATGAAACCACAGCCCAAGAGGGCTGGTGGATCTTGTCCACTACTGAATAAAATCCTATGGAAGCAACATTGGTTTCCATCCTTTTGATGTTTCATAAAGTAGGATACAGATTCAACCCCATCCCATTTGAAATATCACTTGATTTCTTGAATGGCGATGAATAATGTTGGTGAAAATAAATAAGCTGATTGTGATAAAGGTTTGTTGGCCATACCTTCTTCAACCCTGTGCTGGGGAAATGGTGGAATATAAGCTTCCAAGGCGGGAATCACAAAAATATTCCCTTTCCAGCAAGAACAGGGGAGCAAGTTTCTTTTAAGCCCTCAAAGAGAGGGAAGCAAGCTTTTTTCGCAACGCAAAGAGGGCCAAAACATTGGAGCACTTAGGGACGATCTCAAAGAGAGAAAAGTAGGCCTCTGTCACCCCGCAAAAAAAAGGATCCCTGTGCTACAAAAAGACTTCATTTCCAGAAAGAACAGGGGGGAAAGTTTCTTTTAAGCCCTCAAAGAGAGGGAAGCAAGCCTTTTCGTAATGCAAAAAAGGCCAAAACATTGGAGCAGGTAGGGAAGATCTTAAAAGAGAGAAAAGCAGGCCTCTGTCACCCCGCAAAAAGGGGACCTTTGCTACAAAAATGCCCCCTTTGCAGCAAGAACAGGGGAACAAGTTTCTCTTAAGCCCTCAAAGAGAAGCAAGCAAGCCTTTCTTGCCACTCAAAAAGGGCCAAAACATGGGAACAGATAAGAAAGATCTCAAAGAAAGAAAAGCAGGGTCTGTCATTTCGCAAAAAAGGGATCCTGTGCTGTAGCTTCCTTTCCTGCAAGAACAGGGGAGCAAGTTTCTTTTAAGCCCTCGAAGCGAGGGAAGCAAGCCTTTCTCGCCACTCAAAAAGGGCCAAAACAGAGGAACAGATAGGGAAGACCTAAAAGAAAGAAAAGCAGGGTCTGTCACCCCGCAAAAAAGGGATCCCTGTGCTACAAAAAGACTTCCTTTCCAGCAAGAACAGGGGAGAAAGTTTCTCTTAAGCCCCCCAAAAGAGGGAAGCAAGCCCTTTTCACAATGCAAAAAGGGCCAAAACATTGGAGCAGGTAGAGAAGATCTCAAAGAGAGAGAAGTAGGCCTCTGTCACCTCGCAAAAAGGGAACCCTGCCCTACAAAAAGCCCCCCCCCTTTCTAGGCAGGCTTCCCTCAAGGAGAAGGAAGCAGGTCTCTCCTCTCCAGTCCTGCAAAAAGGGGATCCTGTGCTACAAAAAGACCCCCTCTTTCTAGCAACTACAGAGGAGCCTGTCTCTCTTAATCCCTCAAAGAGAGAAAACCAACAAAAAGGGCCAAAACAGGAGAGTAGATAGGGAAGTTCTGAAAGAGAGGGAAGCAGGCCTCTGTCGCCCCCGCAAAAAGGGGAGTCTGTGCTACAAAAAGGCCCCCTTTCCATCCAAACAGGAGGGCAGGCTTTCCTTAAAGAGAAGGAAGTAGATCTCGCCTTTCTGACCCTGAAACAAAAAGGGGATCCTGCCCTACAAAAAGGTCCCCCGAAGCCTCAAAGAGAAGGAAGGAGGTCTCTCCTCTCTCGCCTCGCAAAAAACCCCCCTTTTCAGCCAGACAGCCCCGAAAAACTCACAGCAAACCTATAAGTATGTAAGTTAGTTTGTAAATCAATACTACGGGTGGATCAAAAAGTAATGCCTCCATCGCTCTAACTTCTATTTCTGTCACAGCTACTGGACTATCTATGCATGATGTGATAGAGGTAACCTTGCTTTACTAATATAGTATTTTATTTTTCCAATTGACTGATTAGTAGCATGAATCTGAAAAGAAAAGAAATAGTGATTTCTGGCAAAAGAAGGTTGTGTACCTAAGGAAATTCATAACCGCTTGAAGGATGTTTATGGGGACGCTGTAATGGACATCAGCAATGCGGGGGTGATGGGTGAAGTTTTTGACCCATCCTCGTATGAGTCTACACTGCCATATAATTGTGTCAATGCAATTAATCTGCATCCTGACCGAATTATATGGCAGTGTTGATGCAGCATTGATCAGAGAAGATACAGAAAGGAAGTACGGGACTTCTTTCGGAGTAAAGAAGACTTCTTTCTGACTTTGACCTATTTGGACCCCTGAAAGATAACTTATTGGGGGCTTCAGATTCAATGACTTGAATGAGGTTAAAACAGCTTTAAAATCGTGGGTCAGGAAGCAAAACTCAGCAATTTTTTCCAAAATGGTTTGGATAGCTGGGTTAAGGAAAAGATAAAGGTTTTCCCTGACATTAAGTTTAGAACTCTTGGGAGGGAGGTTGGTGCTTAGTTCCATTTCTAAGCCAAAGGGCCGGCATTGAAAGGATAATTTATCAGAAGTCCCGGGTTCATATCCCGGACGAGCCCCCAAATAATGACTGCATGGAGTGACCTTACCTTCCTGCCTATTGATCTACTCACACTTTTTTCAAACTGCTAGGTTGGCAGAAGCTGGGGCTAACAGCGGGAGCTCACCCCCGCCAACCTTTAGGTCAGCAAGTTCAGCAGCTCAGCAAGGTTAGCCGATGGGACAAATGTGTACCAAGGAGGCAAAACTTTTTGACCCACTCTCTGAATCAGCCTAGATGTCGCCCCAAGCCGTCGGGGGTTTCTGAGTGTGTGTGTATTGTGTGCGCCCGTACTGACCATCTCCTTCTTCCGCTTGTCCTCCTTGAGGTCGTTCTTCTTGATCTCGGCCTTGAAGGCCTCGGCCTCGCCTTGGGCCTCGTCCTTGGCCAGCAGGTCCATGAGGTAGGCGATGTAGCTGGTGGCCAGGCGCAGCGTCTTGATCTTGGAGAGCTTGGTGTCGGCGGGCACGTTGGGGATGCACTCGCGCAGCTCCGCGAAGGCGCTGTTGATGCTCTGAGTCCGGCGCCGCTCCTTGCGGTTGGCAGTCCCGCGGCGCTTGACCGGGCGCGGCCCTCCCACCAGCAGGCCCTCTCCGCCGCCTCCTCCTCCTCCGCCTCCGGACATCCCGGGAGGGCCCCCGCCGCTGCCCGGAGGGGCCACGCCGCCGCCCACGTAGTGGTGGGGATGGTGGTGGTGATGGTGGTGGTGCTCCAGGCCGCCCGGGGCGCCGCTGGCGTACTCGGGGCTGTAGGAGGAGAGCGCCATGCTGTAGTCGGGCGGGGACAGCTCCGAGGGGTGGCTGCTGCCCCCGCTGCTGATCAGCCAGCCGTGGAAGTACGGGCTCTCCTCGTGGCCGCACCGCGTGGCCGCAGCAGCGGCGGCAGCGGCGGCGGCAGCAGCGGCGGCGGCGAAGGGGTAGCCCTCATGGTGGACCACCGGGTGGTGCGGGAAGCCCCCCACCAGACTCATCGCCGGGCCCCGCTCCTCGCCCCGGGAATCTCAGCAGCGCCGGGAAGGAGCCATGGGGAGAGCGGCCCACCGCGGATCAGGGCCTCCTGCCTTGGGCACTCATGCAGCCAGGGAGCAGTGGGTGGGGGAGCCCCTCTGGGCCGCCCAAAGGGAACCCCTCCTGCCACAACAGATCAGGAAGATCTCAAAGATAAAGTCTCTGTCGCCACGCAAAAAACGGGGCCCAGTCCTACAAAAAGCCCCCCCTTCCAACAATAACAGGGAATCACTCAGAGAGGGGGAAGCAGGACTTTCTCGCCACTCAAAAAGGGCCAAAACAGAGGAACAGATCAGGAAGATTACAAAGATAAGGGAGCAGGTCTCTGTCGTCACGCAAAATGAGGACCCAGTCCCACAAAAAGGACCTCCTTTCAACAACAGGAGAGGGAAGCAGGCCTGTCTCGTCACCCAAAAACGGCGAAAACAGAGGAACAGATAGGGAATCTCTCAAAGAGAGGAAAGTATGCTTTTCTCGCCACTCAAAAAGGACCAAAACACAGGAAGAGATAAGGAAGATCTCAAAGATAAGGGAGCAGGTCTCTGTCGCCAAGCAAAAAGGGGGCCCAGTCCTACAAAAAGCACCCCTCCTTCCAACATCAACAGGGAATCCCTCAGAGAGAGGAAAGCAGGTCTTTCTCTAAACGTAAAATGGGCCAAAAATAGAGGAACAGATAGGGAAGATTTCAAAGAGAGAAAAGCAGGCCTCTGTTACCCCGCAAAAAGGGAAGCCTGTGCTAGAAAAAAGGCCTCTTTTCAGCAAGAACAGGGGAGCAAGTTTCTCTTAAGCCCTCAAAGTGAGAGAAGCAGGCCTTTCTGCAAAGCAAAAAGGGGCAAAACAGGGGAGCAGATAGAGAAGATCTGAAAGGGAAGCAGGCCTCTGTCGCCCTGCAAAAAAGGGGAGCCTGTACTACAAAAGCCCCCCTTTCCGGCCAAACAGGAGGTGGGCAGGCTTCCCTCAAAGAGAAGGAAGTAGGTCTCTCTTTTCTGTCCTGTGAAAAAGGGACCCTGTGCTACAAAAAGCCCCCCTTTCCAGCAACAACAGAGAGGGAAGCAGGCCTTTCTCCCAACGCAAAAAGGGCCAAAACAGGGGAGCAGATAGGGGTGATCTCAAAGAGAGGGAAGCAGGCCTCTTTCGCCTCGCATACGGTACAAAAAGCCCCCCTTTCCGGCCAAGCAGGGATGCAAGGCTTCCCTCGACTCCTCAAAGAGAAAGGAAGTAGGTCTCACCTCTCCAGTCCTGCAAAAAGAGGACCCTGTGCTACAAAAAGACCCCCTTTCCAGCATCAACAGGGGAGCAGGTTTCTCTTAAGCCCTCAAAGAGAGAGAAGGAAGACTCTCGCAAAGCAAAAATGGGTCAAAACAGGGGAGCAGATAGGGAAGATCTCAAAGAGAAGGAAGCAAGGCAAAGAGAGGACTCTGTGCTACAAAAAAATCCCCTTTCCTACAAAACATTGGAGCAAGTTTCTCTTAAGCCCTCAAAGATAGGGAAGCAAGCCTCTGTCACCCTGCAAAAAGGGGACTATGTGACCCCTTTCCAGCCAAACAGGAGAGCAGGCTTCCCTTAAAAAGAGGGAAGTAGGTCTCTCCTCTCTCGGCCTGAAACAAAAAGGGGATCCTGCCCTACAAAAAGGTCCCTTTCCAGCCAAACAGGAGGGCAGACTTCCCTTAAGAAGGAAGTAGGTCTCTCTTTTCTCGCCCGCAAAAGGGAGACCCTGCCCTACAAAAAAAGCACCTCCTAAGGAAAACAAGGGGTGCAAGCTTCCCCTAGCCCTCCGGACTAAAGCAACAGGCCTCTCTTAAGCCACTAAAACAGAGAAGCCACTTCCCCTCACTTCAGGAAGAGAGGGAAGCAAGCTTTTCATAGGGGAACCCTACGGAAAAAGGATCCTCCCCCAAAACAACTCAAAAACAACAACAACGGAGAAAACAGGGGAGTGGGCCTCCCCAGTCCCACAATACAAGAAAAAGGATCCTCCCTCAGCTCACAGAAAGAACTCTACACAACAACAACAACAACAGGGAAAACAGGAGAGCAGGCCTCCCCAATCGCAGAAGACAAGGGACGCCGCTGTAAATAGAGGGGATAGAGCTCTAGCCCCCCCCCCCCCAACAAAAGGTTCCTTACCCTACAAAAAAAGGACTGGACCCACAAAAGTAGGACTTACTTGGAAAAGAAAGGACCCACCCCTCTAAAAAGGGCTCTAAGTCAATAGAAAGGACTGCCCTACACAAGAGGAGCCCCCTCCCCGGCGACCTTGGCCCTGATCTTCTCCAGCGTCTCTCTTGGTGTTTCCTTGCGTGGAGGGTCCCCAAATTGGCCCCGTTCCTGGTTAAAGCGAGGCGGTTCCCATCCTCGGCTGTTCGGCTGGCTCCTCGGAGTCCGGGGGCCACCACTTGGGGCAATCTCCGAAGGCAAGAGGGCCACCAAAGCTGGGACCCAAACGGAAGGCAAGAGGAGTTCACGGCGGTGGTTTTTCCAGGGCACTGGCCGGGTTCCTCAGCCCGATCTCCATGTAGAGCCACATCTTTAGGGCAGCTCGGGTTAATATATGTCGTCAGAGGCCTCCCGGGCCAATCAGGACAGCGCGGGGGCGGGGCCTCCCCCTCGGAGCCCGGGCTCGCTCTTTTTTCATCTTCCCGCCGCTAATTGTGGGGCTCCTCTTTCGGGATTGGCTGCGCTTCCCATCCATAATGTAATTAAACCCAACGAGGAAGCAGCCCCCCTCCCAGTCCAGCGCTTGCTGAAGTTAATGCGGCTATTTAAGAAGATTTAACTGGGCCAGTAAGTATGGGGGGTGAGGCTGTGGGGCATTGGATTTGGATTATTTCTAGACACAGAAAGGGGATTGACTGGGAAACCAAACCAAAATGGGAGAGCGTTCCGATTCAGGAGAAAGGGTGTCACATTATTTGGAGATATCCATATGGATATGTCACAATAATATGCATTCCATGTACAAACATAGTATATTAGTGTCTGTATACGCCTCTCCATTCCTTTCTCTCTCTCTGGAATGTATTAATTTACTATGAAGCTATATTATTTGCAGATCGTTTCGATTCAGTGGTAACAAATGTTATTGAATGTTGGATTACATCATTGCAATATAGATATACAGACAGAGAAAGAGAGAGGAGAGATCTAGACTCTCTCTCTCGCTCTATGTTATACTAGCCGTCCCCTGCCACACGTTGCTGTGGCCCAGTCTGTGTATATGTGTTTTGCGTGTGTATATATATGTATATTTGTATATATGTGGTTTTGTTCATCCATTGTAATTTTTTTTGGCTTTTAAAGTCTCTTCTGCTTTGTGTTTCAGTGTTTTTATGGGTGATGGTCACTTGTTGGTCTGTTAGGGGTGTAGTGTCCAAATTTGGTGTCAATTCGTCCAGTGGTTTTTGAGTTATGTTAATCCCATAAACGAACATTACATTTTTATTTATATAGATATACACACACACATATACATATATATAGTCGGATGTGTGTGTGTATGTGTATGTATGTGTGTGTGTATGTATATATATATATCTCCCTCTCGGCTATATTTACATCTATATCTGTCTCTAAATGTCTTTCCTCTCTCTGGATAGAAGTTACTAGGTTTATGCAATTGTGCAAAACAATACTATCGCAGATCGTTTGGACTCAGGGTAATAATCATAATATAATATAATAATATGAAATAATTGTGAAATGTGAATGCATATTCTTGCACTATGTTTTTATAGATTGCACATGATAGTCATTATATATATATATATATATATAGAGAGAGAGAGAGAGAGAGAGAGAGAGAGCAATATGCAATTTATATATACTATTGCAATATAGTAGTGCAATATTATATGGATGCATGTATATATATATGTATGTATATGTATGTGTGTGTGTATAATATTGTATATATAATATATATATTGTATATATAATATTGGACGACACTATCTATTGCACGTATGCATGTATATGTATATGTGTGTGTGTGTGTATATATTTCACGACTCTGTCTATTCCAAAACTATATATATATCTAGAGACTGGAGTCCTGAGGACAGGAGGGATAATAACAATAAGAATAATATATTTATTATTATTATTATTATTATTATTATTATTATTATTGTTATTATATCTTTTTCTAGATTCCCCCATATCTATCTATTCCAAAACTATATCTATATCTAGAGACTGGAACCGTAGGGACAGGAGGGATAATAAGAATAAGAATAATATATTTATTATTATTATTGTTACTATTTTTATTATTATATCTGTTTCTAGATCTCTCTCTCTCCCCCATATCTATCTATTCCAAAACTATATCTATAACTAGAGACTGGAGCCGTGAGGACAGGAGGGATAATAATAATAATACATTTATTATTATTGTGATTATATCTGTTTCTAGATCTCCCCCCCCCCCCCAATTTATCTATTCCAAAACTATATCTATATCTAGAGACTGGAGCCGTGAGGACAGGAGGGATAATACATTATTATTATTGTTATTGTTATTGTTATATCTGTCTCTAGATCTCCCCCTCCTTTGTATAGGATTTACAGTAGTGCTTATGTTGCATTGCAAAACACTAGTGTTTGTGCTTAAGGGGCAACAGCGCCAATTACATCTATTAACTGAAATTATCTAAGGAGTGATTAGTTTAGTAGCTCTACCTACAGATTTGCTGCAGAAACATTGCTTTTGAATGTAGGTGGGTGGGCGGGCCGAGGATTTTTCTAATTGAGGGTATAATTTATTACCACATGGAGGTAAATCCCCGTGAAATCAAGGCGATGTACTTCAGGGACAATTCATTCCCAGTCCAGGACAAACATGAGTATATATGCTTGTGTATGTGTGTGTGCGCGCGTGTGTGTATATACACACACACTCATGGTTACCCTGGACAGGTTTGCTGCATTTATTATTATTATTATTATTATTATTATTATTATTATTATTATATGACACAAAACCACAGTATGTCACAGCAAACGAGATCCATATGCTGGATTTCGTATCAAAAATCACAAGTCGAACACTTCCCAAGCATCTAGGACTGTGTGGTGTTTATTATTATTATTATTATTATTATTATTATTATTATTATTATTATATGCACGCAGCAAACATTTTTAATGAACTTCCTTCAAGATTAAAGTGAGCTACCAATCTAAAGGCCAGGATAGAATTTCTCCAAAGAATAAGAACGTTCAAATATAGTATAAAGGCAGTAGCAGCGATATTATTATTATTATTATTATTATTATTATTATTATTATTACTACTACTACTACTATTTACTGACACAAAAGTACAGTATGTCACAGCAAACGAGATCCATATGCTGGATTTCGTATCAAAAATCACAAGTCGAACGCTTCCCAWGCATCTAGAACTGTGTGATATTTATTATTATTATTATTATTATTATTATTATTATTATTATTATTATTATTATTATTATTATTGTCGAAGGCTTTCATGGCCGGAATCACTGGGTTGTTGTAGCTTTTTCGGGCTATATGGCCATGTTCTAGAATGATGATGATGATGATGATGATGATGATGATGATGATGATGATAAACCTTTTCCTATACTTTATTTATATTCCGCTCTATCTCCCCGTGGGGATTTAGAGCGGATTAAAACATACACAGTTAGACAAATTTTCAATTGAGCACAGCAAAACTCTGGATCCTGTCTCTCAGCTTTGTTCTCTTGCTAAAATGACCCAGAGAATGAATCTTTTCTCTCTCTTTTAAGGAGTTGCTGCTTCGAAATAAAGCGATGCACAATGCGAATGTCTTTTTCCCCAGCTCTTTTGGGTCTCGTTCACACTCTCTCTACCTGAAACCAGTTTCTCCATCAACTGAGTAAGTAAACCATTTTTTAAAACAACCTGGAATGGATTTTCCTTTTTCTAGGAACCAAAGATAGAAAGAGACGCCTCTCTATCGAGGGAGGGTGATAATATTTCTCCAGAAAATAAACTTTGAGACTTTATTCTATTATTTTTACTTGAAGGGCAGGGAGACTTAAAGGAGAGGTTGGAGGGGCAGGCCCGGCCCGGCAGAGAGCCACAAGATATATAGGGAGATGTTGGGGTTTGGGGGGTGTCCAACACATTGTATCATACAAAAGATCCCCAAATTGTATTCCATGGAGAAAGGGATTTCGGGGAAGGAAACAGAGCCAAGAGCCTTCCCTTTCTTTAAAAAAGGCAAGACAAGAAAATCAAGGAGATGAAGAATCAAGGAGTCGGTAACACCATGTTTCCAGACCGGATTAAGAAAAGAAAAATGAAGAATACTTGGGATGGATCCTCTCTTTGGCTCTGCCCGGATCCCGCCCTGAGTCTGTTAGGCGCAGTCCATCCACACCCGAAGGCTTTGGTCTTAAATGGAAAACAAATCCACCTTGGAGTGGAGCCAAACGGGAATCTCTCTTCCCTTCTGAGCCGATTTCTAGCCAAATCGAAGTACAGTCCGAGATTTTATCCCTCCGTCTTCGAGATTCGAGGTTAGAGATACTGGAAGTGATTTTCCCAATGGATCAGCTGGTGCCCACCGACCTTATCCTTGTTACATTTAAAGATTGCATCTGAAATATGCATTATATAAGTGGTCTATGTATGCATCTCTCTCTCCCTCACACTCTCTTGAATGTTATATATCTGGAGCCCATACGTATATGTATGTGATTGTGTGTGTGTGTGTGTGTATAGGATCCCTCATATACATACACACACACACAAACGGAATCTCTCTCTCTCTCTATATATATATATATATAACAATGTGTGTATGTGTGGATGACACATAAACTTTCTCCAATGTGTGTGTGTGTGTGTGTGTGTATATATATGCAGTATATACACATATACGCATATGCATATGCAATCCATATACAGGGATTCTAGAAGTTGCCCTTCAAAAAAGCTATATATATATATATCCCATATCCCTCTCTAATGTTATATATGGTATATATGTTATATATGGTATGTGTGTGTGTTGCATACATATGTGTTGCATATATGGGACTATATATATATGTGTGTGTATTTGTGTGTTTCATATATATGTGTTGCATATAAAGGATTACACACACATACATATATGGTGTATGACTCTCTCTCTCTAATGTTATATATGGCATATATATATAGTCCCATATATGCAACACATATATGAAACACACACACACACACACACATAGTCCCATATGTGCAACATAACACATGTGTGTTGCATATATGGGATTTTATTTATATATATAAATATATGGCATGTATATAGTCCCATATATGCAACACACACAGAATCCATATATATGGATTCTAGTAGTTGTCCTTCAAAAAGTGTTTATATATATATAATATATATATATATCCCATATTTGTGTATGATTCTCTCTCTCTAATATTATATATATGTATATATGTTTGTGTTATATATATATATATATGGATCATACATTATATGCAGTAAATACACATATCGAATCCCTATATATATAATATTAGGGAGATTCATATATACGTGTGTGTGTGTGTGTGTATAAATATTCGTGTATGTGGAACCCATATGTGTGTGCGTATGACTCTCTAATGCAGGGGTCCACAAACTTTTTAAACAAAGGGCCAGGTCACAGTCCCTCAAACTGTTGGAGGGCCGGATTATAATTTTTTTAAAAAAAGAATGAATTTCTATGCAAAAAACACTTAAAAGCAATACAATAATTAAAATGAAGGACAATTTCAACAAATATAAAATTATTAGTATTTCAATGGGAAGTGTGGACCTACTTTTGGCTGATGAGATTGGATTGCTGTTATTGCTGTGTGCTTTCAAGTCGTTTCAGACTTAGGTTGACCCTGAGCGAGGGCCTGGTAAATGACCTTGGAGGGCCGCATCCGGGCCCCGGGCCTTAGTTTGAGGACCCCTGCTCTAATGTTATCGATATGGAATATATATCTATATATATGAATGATCCCATATATGAAATACACACACACACACACACACACAATCCATATATATGGATTTTAGAAGCTGTCCTCCAAAAAGTGCTCTAGAGAGCGAGAGAACCTATATGTGTGTGTATGACTTTCTCTCTCTCTCTATGGATCATACACTATATATAAGAGATCCCATATATGCAGTAAATACACACTCACACAAATGCACACATATATATATAACAGAAAGAGAGAGAAAAGAGTTTCATGTATATGTGTGAATAATATTCATGCATGTGGAACCCATATGTCTGTCTGTCTGTCTGTCTGTCTGTCTGTCTGTCTGTCTGTCTGTCTATCTATCTATCTATCTATCTATCTATCTATCTATCTATCTATCTATCTATCTATCTATCTATCTATCTATCTATCTATCTTTTTGGGGAACCACTCCTGGAATCCGCCAGCATGCCCTGAATAGGCATCAAAAGATGCAAGGTAAATACTAAAAGTTGGTAAAGTTATTTTCCCCCTCACAACGGAACATTTGGGTGAGTTGTCGTCCAAGAAGTCAATTCCCCAGATTTAGGAGGAAAGGTCGAAAAATTAACCTCCTTAAAGTTAGTTAAAAAAAACAAAACACCAAAACACCCCAAAGCCTGGTAATACTATTCTAGTGGTTGCTAGCCTTTCAGCTCCGGGAGTCTCTCCTCGGGGTTGGGTTGGAGCCCCAGCCAAGGGGAGAGCGCGGGCCAGCCTTGCTAGGTACCCACACTTCCCTGCCTTGTTTGGGGAGTCTCCCCCAGTTCCTCAATGGCGCTTGCATGGCGTCCCATTAGCGTGAAAGAGGGCCGTCAGGAGAATCGGGGAAATCGGGACACCCGGATCCTCCAGGCGCGACTTCGGAAGTCAACCCCGCGTGAGTTTGAAACCATAATTTGCGAGTTCCTATTGCGGTGAAGGGATTGGTCCCAATGCGGTTGGATTTGTGACTGTTGCCTGTATACAAAGCCCTTGAAAGACGGCGGCGGGGCTCGATCTCCTCGCAAGGAGAACCTCTTGATGTCACTACTGCTTTCCGAAAGACTTTTTGCTCTGTTTTGCCAGCCTCTTGAGTTCGTCGTTAAAGAGAGAAAATCAATACAATTAAAAAGGAAGCTCCCTTTAACCCCCCCCCTTTCCACGTTTCGAGTGGATGTATACTGTGGAATTAATGCAGTTTGACATCCAGCCGTTTCAGAATCATAGGAGTTATCGTTTGGCAAACTTTTCAGCTTTCTCTGCCTCACTGTAAACCTTTGGAATCCACAGCACACATACTCATGGCATTCCAAATGGTGCTAAACTGCGTTAATTGTATGGTGTAGATGCACCGTTAGCCTTTCTGGGGTCAAACAGCTTCGCCCACATCAAGCCTAACAGTCTTGGCAGAGAAGGGAACACAAGTTGAATTACTTGAGAGGAATTGAAGGCTGGCACACACACCCCCTGCATGGGAAAACGTGGTTTTATGCCCACGAAAACTCAAAAAATCGGTGAGTTTAAAATTGCGGCTATATTTTCCTTCCTTCCTTCCTTCCTTCCTTCCTTTCCTTCCTTCCTTCCTCCCTCTCTTCCTTCCTTCCTTCCTTCCTTCCTTCCTTCCTTCCTTCCTTCCTTCCTTCCTCTCCTTCCTCTCCTTCCTCTCTTCCTTCATCTCCCTCCTTCCCTCCATCTTCCTAATTTCCTTGTTTTGTTCCTCCTTCCTTCCTTCCTTCCTTCCTTCCTTCCTTCCTTCCTTCCTTCCTCTCCTTCCTTCCTTCCCTTTCCCTTCTCCTTCCTTCCCTTCCCTCCTTCCTCTCCCCTTCCTTTCTTCCTTCCTCTTCCCTTCTTTCCTTCTCTCTCCTTCTCCTCCCTCCCTTTTCTTTCTTCTTTCTTTCTTCTTTCTTTCTTTCTTTCTTTCCTTCTTTCCCTCCTTCCTCTCCTCCCTTTAATACTTTTATTTAAATGTCAGTACTTTATATACAGCTTTCCACAAAGAAGTAGAGTTTTTTCTAGCTGGATCTACACGGTTCTGTATCCCCAGGATCTGATTATTCACTTTGAATCGGATTATATAAATCTACACTGCCAGATAATCTGGGATAAGCAGATATTCTGGGATCAGATCCTGGGATTTAAGGCAGTGCAGATCCAATTTGAGTTGGTCAAGATGCCAACAACTTTTGGCGGCTTTCAGAAGTGACTTTTTAAATCATCATCATTATTAATAATTAATTATATAATTATATAAGTATAATTATAATAATATTATTAATAATAAATAATAAAAATAACATTATTTTTATCCCGTCTTATCTCCCCAAGCGGACCCCTAAGGAGGTTTCCCCCTTTGTCTTCTTCCCAAAGTCTCCCCTCTCATCTCTCTCTCTCTCTGTGTATTGTGATTTGTTTGCTTTCAAGTCGCTTCTGATTTGAAGCTTCTCGGTGGGTTTTCTTGGCAAGATCTGTTCTGAGACAGTTTGACACAGATTCTCTCTGAGGCTGAGAGAGTATGACTTCACTGAGGCCACTGGGGGGGGGGGTTCTTTCGCCCAGCACTGATCTCTTGGAGTCCAGTTGGTCCTGCACACACCACATATTTGTGGAGATTGGGTGATTCGGGAAGTCATTTGCGGGCCTCTTTTTCTCTCCAGCTTTCCACAAATAACCCGAGAGCCACTCCCTTAAAAAGATAAAATAAAAATAAATCACCTACCAACTAGAGCTACCTTTTAAGTAGCCGCTGCATATGTCAAAGAAAAAAACCCTTGTGCATTTATAATGGACCACAGGCACCAAAACCAAGCATCCCCCCCTTTCCACATCTGCTTTCCTAGAAACGTGACTTGGAAGTTCCTTGGAACCGCGTTTTCGGTGAGCGTTTCTCTTGCCTCGCATTTGCTGCTTCCTCTGTGGAGTTGGATTTTCCTAGAGTTCCCTGCATTCGTGTTTCTTTATAAGAGCCATGGATGATGTTCATCGGATCTAAAGTTTCATTAGTGGAAATTGTGTTGCTATAACGAGACTAGTTACTATTTCGTTACAGTAATTGTGCATGCCCAGCGGGTTAAACCACTGAGCAGTTGAACTTGGTGACAGAAAGGTCGGTGGTTCGAAATCCGGGAGCGGAGTGAGCTCCCGCTATTAGCCCCAGCTTCTGCCAACTTGGCAATTCGAAAACATACAAATGTGAGTAGATCAAGAGGTATCTTCACCTTAGAAATGGAGGTGAGCACCAACTCTCAGAGTCCGACACGACTAGACTTAATGTCAGGGGAAAACCTTACCTTTACCTTACTACCATTGTGGAAACTTCAGGGACTCATTTCTCCCTCATTTTAAAAGCTATTAGAGTGAAACTTGATACAGTGATAGAACACATTTACCACTGTTAACTCACCAAATTTCAGAACGTTTCACTTATCCACAGATTTTTGGGGAATTTTCAAAATATTTATGGATGTAGGTGAACTACAACCCCAAAACTCAAGGTCAATGCCCACCAAACCCTTCCAGTATTTTCTGTTGGTCATGGGAGTTCTGTGTGCCAAGATTGGTTCAATTCCATTGTTGGTGGAGTTCAGAATGCTCTTTGATTGTACTATAAATCCCAGCAACTACAACTCCCAAAGGTCAAAGTCTATTTTACTCAAATTCCACCAGTGTTCAAATTTGGGTGTATTGGGAATTTGTGCCAAATTTGGTCCAGATCCATAATTTTTTGCATTCACAGTGCTCTCCTGATGTAGGTGAACTACATCTCCTCTAAATCACTGTCAATTCCTCCCAAACTCCTCCAGTATTTTCTGTTGGTCATGGGGATTCTGTGTCCCAAGTTTGGTCCAGGTCTGTCATTCGTGGGGGTCTCAGTGACCTGTGAAAGTCAGAGCTGAATTGGTTGAAGATATTGCGCATCCAATCATTTGTTGTCCATACTCCCCCAAACATATTGTTTTTGTGATTAATCACTATGCTTTACTTATGTTCAATTTGTAATGAAAATACATCCTGCATATCAGATATTTACATTACAAACAGTAGGAAAATTACAGTTATGAAGTAGCAATGAAAATAATTTATGGTTGGGGGGGGGGTCACCACAACATGAGGAACTGGATTTAGGGTCCCTTCATTAGGAAGGTTGAGAACCACTGCTGTAGAGTCAAACCCAGTATTTTCCTAAGATATCCATCTGATGGGAGCCATTCCTGAACATAACCTTAACTGTATCTGTTTTGGTCTTTCAGGGTCATCTGTCCTTGTGGAGATCTGCCAAGTTTACTACTAGTGAGGATCCAAGGAGGACTGGAATGTCCTGTGAAGCCCACAGCCTCCTAAGGATGGCAGCCTCCAGCCATATCTCCAGGAGTCTATCTTTCTCAGAGTTGGACTTCTCCTCAACCAAAGTCCTCCACAACTAACAGAGCTAACGCAAGCTAGTTCCTGATGTGTGCCTTCAAGTTGTCTCATGGCAACCCTAAGGGATGTCTTTGCCTTCCTCTGAGGCTGAGAGAATGGGACTTGAACCCAGTGGGCTTCCACAGCCAAGCAGAGATGCAAAGCCTGATCTCCAGAGTCCTAGTCCCAGGCTCAAGCCACTAACCCAGGCCGGCCTCATCTCACAAAGTGTCTTCAGGCCACAAGTCAATTCTTGGGGCTCCGGATATTCTGACTTCTCAGGCCCCTTCCACACAGCTAAATAAAATCCAGTGTGGACTCAGATAACCCAGTTCAAAGCAGATACTGTGGGGTTTTTTGCCTTGATATTTTGTGTTATATATATAGAGCTGTGTGGAAGGGCCCTCTGCCTCTATTTATTTTGCTTAAAGGGAAAAAAGAGGAGTCCAAGATGAAAAAGCAGAATGGGGATGATGAGACTTTTTTTTATTCAGGCAGGTTTTTTAAAGAGTAGGGTCTTTGATTATTTTTGCAGTTTTAAAATATTTTAAGTTATTTTAATGGGTTTGTTTGTTGAATTCTGTCTTCATATCTATTCTAAATTGCATTTTAAATGTTGCATCTTAACCAACATTGCATCTTAACCAAGAGATGCATCATCATCTTTCTACATCTGCCCACTTCTGTCCCTGTTAGTGCTGCGTGTCCTGTATTGAGGGAAGAAGAACACTTCTATAGGTATTTATCTTTCACACATAATTCTTTGTATTTCCTTAGCTTTGAAATCAAATAAAGGGCACCCTGAAGAAAAGCTTCAAGCAAGAGAACCTATCAGTTCCTAGCAGCTTCTTTCCTTCTGAAATCCTTTTGGTTCTTGTATTTGCTAAAGGAAGAGTGTTGTCCATGGCTTCACTTGGCTTGCTGTGAGTTTTGCTGGATTGTGTGGCCATGTTCCAGAGGCATTCTCTTCTGAAGTTTCATCCACTAGGGCTGGGCGGTTTCGTTTCGTTAATTCGTAATTCGTTAATAATTCGTTAATTTTTTCAATTACAAAACGATAACGAACAATTCTGGAGCAATTATTAAAAAAAACGAATTTTCAAAAATGTTTTGTAAATGCTTCGTATTTCGATATTGTATTCGTTTCGTTATTGTTTGAGGTCGTTTCGTTATTATTTCCGCATGTCTGGGCCAGTTTTATGGTTTAATTAGTGAAAAAAAATTATAATATCACACCAACAGTCAACAACAGAGGGAGAGGGAAGCTTCAGAAGGTTTTGGAGGTTTTTTAGCGTATTTCGCGGTCGCGTCCGCCATTAACGAATCGATTAGTTATTGTTTCGGAAATCGATTCGTTAATTTTTTACCATTTACGAAATTTCGTAAATATCGAACTTTTTAAAAGGAAAATTTTGTAATTATTTTAAATATCGAAACAAAAAAAAACCCCCAAATACAAATCGATTTTAGAAACAAATTTTTCCGTTGTTACCCAGGCCTATCATCCACATCTATGGCAGGCATCTTCAGAGGTTGTGAGGTCTGAGGATGCCTGCCATAGATGTGGGCAAAACGTCAGGAGAGAATGCTTCTTGAACAAATGCCACACAGCCCAGAAAACTCACAGCAACCCAACAAAGGAAGAGTATCTGAAACTTTAGTGACCTCAAAGTTGCATAGCCATTTCTGAGAGGAAAATTGGGAGCATATAAAGCATCTGGAGGCCCTTTCACACAGTCCTATAGCCCAGAATACCAAGGCAGAAAATTCCACATTATCTGCTTTGAACTGGAATATATGGCAGTTTGGCCTCAGATAACCCAGTTCAAAGCAGATATTGTGGGATATTCTGCCTTGATATCCTGGGCTATAGGACTGTGTGGAAAGGCCCTATTATTTATTTATTTTATTATTTATTTACTGTATTTGTATACTGCCTTTCTCAGCCAATCTGACGACTCAAGGGCCTCATGATGATCTAGAAGGAAGACACTTGCCTGTTAACTTATGGTGGCTTCATGAATTTCATGGTGTTTTCTTAGGCAAGCAATACTCAGAGGTGGTTTTGCCGCTTCCTTCTTCTGGAATAGAGTCTACAGGCTTGGGTTTTCATTGGGGGTCTCCCATCCAGGTACTAACCAGGACTGTCCCTGCTTAGCCTCCATGATCAGCCGGGATATGCTGCCTTTTTAGACTGTTTATTTGGGACCAAAGTGCTTTTCACCTCATGTGTGCTTCCTGAAGCATTTCAAGCTAAATAATAAAAACATACAAAATAGTGAGTACTACTTCCTTATTACAGGCAGTCCTCAAGTTAGGAACAAGATAGGTGCTGTGGATTTGTTCTAAAGTTGAATTTGTATGTCAGTCAGAACAGGTACATTTTAAAGTGTAACTCCAGTCACATATCTATCTCTATCTCTCTATCTCTCTATCTCTCTATCTCTCTCCCTATCCCTATCCCTATCCCTATCCCTATCCCTATCCCTATCCCTATCCCTATCCCTATCCCCATCCCCATCCCCATCCCCATCCCCATCCCCATATCTATCTATCTCTGTCTGTCTGTCTGTCTGTCTGTCTGTCTGTCTGTCTGTCTGTCTATCTATCTATCTATCTATCTATCTATCTATCTATCATCTATCTATCTATCTATCTCTATTTATAAGTAAGGTTACCTCTATCATATCAGACATAGATAATCCAGTAGCTGTGACAGAAATAAAAGTTAGAGTGATGGGGGCATTACTTTTTGACCCACACTGCCCTATATCCCAGAATATCAAGGCAGAAAATCCCACATTATCTGCTTTGAACTGGGTTATCTGACTCCACACTCAGATAATGTGGGATTTTCCGCCTTGATATTCTGGGATATAGTGTGCTGCCTCTGAAAAAATCCTGCAAATCTCTTGGGAAGACAGGCCCAAAGCAGTTACTCTACTTAGAACGGAAAAGGGAATGTTGGTGGACAGGAAAAGAGATTTAGAGATGGTCTTAAAGCCAACCTCAAAAACTATGGCATAAACATAAGTAAGAACTGGGAAACACTGCCCTTGAGCGCTGTAACTGGAGGTCAGCTGTGACCAACAGTGCTGCAGAATTTGAAAAGGCATGAATGGAGAGCGAAAGGAAGAAAAGCAACCCACTGCCAAGACACCACATATAGAAGACAATCATCCTCAAGCTACCAGAGATGCCAGATCTGGAAGACAATCATCCTCAAGCTACCAGAGACACCACATCTGGAAGACAACAGTCCTAGAGCTAGGAGCGATTGCCTAAGTAAGTAAGTAAAGTAATAGGGCTGTGTGGAAGGGCCCCCACTCCTGTCTGATATCAAATCCATTGTGGGCTTTATAGAAGGAACATATAAAGTAGCCAAGACTTATTTTGGATTCTGGTGGTCTTTCACATTGAGGACTTAGATTTCCAGATGAAAGGCGGTCAGACAAGGATTTGTTTGCCCATCTTTAAGAGCCCTTCCACTCAGTTATATAACCCAGAATATCAAGGCAGAAAATCCCACAAGATCGGCTTTGAACTGGGTTATCTGAGTCCACACTGCCATTACTTAGGCAATCCCGCCTTGTACTGACTGTGGGGTGGGTCTGTAGGTGACTGTGGAGCCCTATTCGTGATTTGCATCTTCTCCTGCAGTGAGGCCATTGGTTTCCAGGTGGAATGTGGTCCGGTCTGGGTTGGCTTGAAGCCTCCATTTATGTCTCTTCAAATTCTGCCGCACTGCTGGTCACAGCTGACCTCAGCGCTCAAGAGCCAGGGCTTCCCAGTTCTAGGTGTCTATGCCACAGTTTTTAAGGTTGGCTTTGAGCCTATCTTTAAATCTCTTTTCCTGTCCACCAACATTCCGTTTTCCCTTGAGTTCGGAGTAGAGCAACTGCTTTGGGAGACGGTGGTATTGCCATATATTCCAGTTCAAAGCAGATAATGTGGGATTTTATTCAGCTGTGTGGAAGGGGCTCTAAATCTCTTTTGTTGTCCACCGACATTCCAGTTTCCATTCTTAAGTTGAGATTAAATAACTTCTTTGGGAGATGGTGATCTTTAAGAAACTTCAATATGCCGGTTTTAGAAAACTACCCACAACAATAGGCAATAATCATATTTGCAAATGCATTACCCAATTCGAAGCCAAGAGTTTTTTTTCTCTCCCACCCTGGACATTCCACAGATATATAAACCCAAATTTCCTAGTTTCCAACAGACCTCACAACCTCTGAGCATGCCTGCCATAGATGCAGGAGAAACGTCAGGAGAGAATGCTTCTCGGACATGGCCACACAGCCCGGAAAAACCTACAATAACCTAATTCGAAGCCCGTCTGCTTGTGGTTTGAGTTTGAGTAAGATCAGGGTCTCAATTCACGCTCTGCCCTGGAAACCCTTTGGGAGACCTTGGGCAAAGTCACACTCTCTCAGCCACAGGCGAGGGCGAAATTCCCTTTGATCCAATCTGGCCAAGTAAACACAAAACCAGACAAGACTGGAAGGCGCACAGCACAACAAGCCTCTCCTTTCTCGAGAAGCTAATCCCCCTTTTCTCCAGGCTGCTTGTTGGCTTGTTTACAATGCAGGGCATTGTAAACAAGACATTAAAAAGCCCGCTTGGGTTCATATCTGACGGCATTGTGTTTCGGATCAGGCCGTGCTTTAATCCCGAACAGCTTTATTAACCCGTAAAACTATTCCAACGTTACTCGTTGGCTTTAAGAGTGAATTACTCTCCCTTGTAGATCTTGTAGGAAAAAGGTTGCGACGAGAAGGCAACATTAACTTCAGAGTAACCAAACGAGGAAGGATTTGGAAAGCAGAATCCAAGGATGTCTATCTATTTCCTTCTATTATTTTCTTTTAGCTGCTTGTATGTGTCTCTTTCTTCCCTGAGTAGCTTTTGTACTTCTTGTTTTGGAAATACACCCCATATATTTTTAATATACCGGTGCTATTTTCATGCTTCTTTGACACTGCATTTCTCTTTAGGATTAAGAAAATAATAATAATAATAATAATAATAATAATAATAATAATATCTCATAGAGAGAGATTTATCCCCTTCTCTTAACCACTTTTTGGGGGAGACATAATTAAGTACAACCCAGTTTTCGGTGTGTTATGAGTTTCCGGGCTGTATGGTTATGTCACAGAAGCATTCTCTCCTGACGTTTCGCCCACACTTATGG